CAAATTTGCACATATTAGTACATAAATCAAGGTAGAGAAGATAATGCATTACAAAGTGTCATAGAAAAGAATATCATATTAAGGAGGCAATATCTAGGATACCTAAGACAAAAGAAGAGAGAGAAAAATAGGAGAATAGAATGATTGTAGAAATAATGAAATGAAATGCAGTAGTTTTCCCCAATTGCAGTTTTCTTATTTAGGCAACTTTCAAATTCAAATTCACTCATATTCCAGATTTCAAATTTAAATTTCTAATTCCAAATTTCAAATTCAAATTTCAAATTCCAATTCAAATTCAATTTCAAAAACCTCAAACTGCAAAAATTTCAAATTTCAAAATCTAAAACTATAAAATTTCAAATTTCAAAAATCTTAAATTGCAAAATTTCAAATTTCAAAAATCTCATACTCGCAAATTTTAAAAAATATCAAACTGCAAAATTTCAAATTTCAAAAATCTCAAACTGCAAAATTTTTAAAAAAATATCAAACTGCAAAATTTCAAATTTCAAGAATCTCAAACTGCAAAATTTCAAACTTTATTAATTTCAAATTTTCATAAATTCAAATTTTCAAAATTTAAACTTTCAAAGTTGGTCAACAATTAAATTCATGTAACAGATAAGTGCAGATATTCAATATAGAGGCTTGAGAGACAATCATAAACTTATCTTTGTAATATTTTTCTGTTCATCTAGCTTGTTCCTGTACACCCATTTAGTTTCAATAACCTGCATTAATTTCTTATCCTTGATAATTACCTGCAACATCAAAATACAAATCTAGGTACCCTTTGATTATTTTTGGGTCCTTAAAAAGGTTAGTAGAATCACAAGTCTCTGCCAAAAGACTAAGGATTAAAAGAATATAACCATGATATAATAATCGATTATCACATCACATTTAGAATCAACATAATTTATTATGACAACAAGAAAAAAAATTTCGATTCTGATAATCAATTAGATGCTCAAACTATCATCTAGACATGTATAAATGTTTTGTTCCTTTAGGCACCCATTCATATTTGCCATTAGATATGCCAAGATGTTTTATGTAACATCTATTTGATATATGACCTATTTTCATGCAATAAAAACATGTTGGTTTTCTTTGAAAATGTTTAAATGAGTTTCTTAAAGTTTTTGAAACTGGTTTCACATATGTTTTCCTTGACTCTTTCACAAAAATAGTTTTATGAGGTTCTATACTTTCTTTGGGTTTGTAACCAAGTCCAGCTTTGCTAGAATTCCCTCTTTGATAACCTAATATAGAATCAAGATTTTCAGAAGATTTTGAAAACTTGCTTATTATTTTCTCTAACTTGAAAATCTCATTTTCCAAATGATTACAATTTTCACAAGGTTTAGTAACTTCTTTATTTTTAGACAAAGTTTTAAATTTCTCAACATCTTTCTTTAAACACTCATTTTATTTTTCAAGATTACCAACAGTATTTTCTAATGCATCAAACTTTTGTCTAAGTGCATTGTATTTCTTAGATAACTTGGTAAAACCTTCAAACATATCTTGATATTCTTTAAACAACTCATCATATTCATTTAAGGATTTTGTACTGGTTACCTGTGATGAGGTTTCTTGTGATGAGACTTCATCATTACTTTTTGTCATAAAGCAAATATTTGCTTCTTCTTCTCTATCACTGCTTTCGGAAGAACTCTCTTGTGTTGTGGAAGAATCATTATCCTCCCAAGCAATATAAGCTTTGCGTTTGTTCTTATACATACCGTTCTTCCCTTTCTTCACATCTTTCTTAAGTTCCGGACAGTCTGATTTGATATGGCCAGGTTTTCCACATTCATAGCAATGGTATTTATTTGTTTTCTCCTTTCTTTGCTGTCTCTTTTTCCTGTTTTTCATAAAGCAAGAAAATTGTTTAACAAAAAGAGACATATCGGAATTCGAAAACTTACCTTCATTTTCACTTTCATCTTGTGAAGATTTTTCTGCTTTTAGAACTATCGTCTTGACTTGATTTTGTTCATCGTTCTTTAACCTTTGTAGCTCCATCTCATGTTCTCGCAGTTTTCCAAATAGAGTGGAAATATTCATTTTTGTGAGATCTTTTGATTCCATAATAGCAGTGACCTTTAGTTGCCAATTCCTGTCTAAGGATTTCAAGATCTTTGTGTTCAACTCCTCATTGTCAAAAATTTTTCCTAATGTTTTTAAGTGATTTACTATATGTGTAGCGTGTCTGGAAATTCGCGATGCTTTCATTCTACTACATTTGAAACAATTCATACTCCTGGATGAGTGTATTCTTACGTGCTCGCTTTACTTCATTTGTTCCTTCATGTGTCACTTCAAGAGTATCCCATATTTTTTTTACCATCTTGCATTGTGAGACCTTGAAAAATTCATTACGAGTTAAGGTAGAAACAATAGCGTTTCGGGCTCTTACATCATAATGGGCACGCTTGTTTTCATCCGGCGTCCATTGATTAAAAGCTTTTGGAACAGCTCCAGACTCCGTTGTTCTCATTGGAATATAGGGACCATTGAGTACAGCATCCCAAACACCATAATCTAGTGTTTGTAAAAATATTTTCATTCTCGCCTTCCAAAACTGATAGTCTTCACCTTCAAATAGTGGAGGTTTGTTTATTGAGGCTCCTTCCCTGTAAACCTGATTCTGCATAGACATCTTGATAGATTGTTTAGAAATATCTTATCTGACCAAGCTCTGATAAATCAAAGGATGAATAATACCTCCTAAACCCACAAAGGATGAAGGAGTAAGATAAGAACAGTCACACCTGGGTAATGGAGACAACAAATTGTAGAAGCCTGTAGAATGTCAATCTCCAAGAACAGGTGTGATTAACAATGAAAGCACAGAAGACAGTAGAGAAGAGGGTTTTCTCAGAAGGTGTAAAATATCTCTGTTGTCTTGCTCAGAATTCTTTTCTCAAAAACTGATTAAATGTAAATTGTATTTTCGAATTCTGTAATTGTGTGTTTTTTATTTTTCATCAAAACTTAATTAAATAGAAAAATAGCATCAGAAAATGGTCATTAGACATTAATATTTTCGTGAATAAAAATCAGGATATATTCAAAAACATTTATTCTTCAAAACAGATATATTTTTCAAATTTGAATTGCTATAATTGATTATGTTACCAGTATAATTAATTATGACTGAGAAAATCATTTTTCCATTTCTGATGCATCATAATTGATTATGACAGTGAAAAAAATCATGTTATGAATTTTATCACACTTGTGCTTTAGATGCTTATGCATAATATTACTTCATCAACTTGTACCTCCATATCCAGTATTCTAAGACTCTATCTAGTCTTCAAGAATCATCTTGGGCTTGCTTGAATCAACATCTTTATCAAAAACATATCTTGGCCATGTAGGGAAATGTTTCACATTATCACCAATGTCTTAAATTCAGTTTGTCCTTAATTCATCTTGAATAGTGTTGACTTGAATGTAGTTGACTTGATTCATCATCAAAATCATTTCTTGGGAATATAGGGACATTTCCATCTATCTCCCCATAATTGCTTTCACTCGGATGTGAAAATCGACAGAATTATATTAAATTAAATTATTATTATTATTATTATTATTATTATTATTATTATTATTATTATATTTTTTTCAATTCATAGATATTTTTAAAAAATAAATTGTATGAAAATTTATCATAGCTTTGAAAAATATATTATAACGGTTCGTTCGACTTATCGAATAAGGAATTAACCTGATAAGTATAAAAAACTAAACGTTTCCAAATTTGTGAGAACCATTTCTAATTCGTTAGAAACATAAGAAAAAAAACCCAATATTTGGAATTGAATAGAACAAGTATTTTAAAAAAAATAATTTTAAATTAATCTAGAACAGCTTTAAAATAAATAAAAAGATTTATTTAATAAATTAAAATTTGGTATATATTATTCACCAGCTATTATTAATTTTTTTCTCATAAAAATGTTTTTTTGTCATTTATATTAATTTATTTTATGTCTTTATTTTTCTATAATTTATATTATAGTAATTGATTATTTTATTTTATTTTATTTTTAATCTTAATCAAATTAGTCGTTTTCAATAGACATTGTCGTATTTTATTAAAATTTAAATATAAATATTATAGGACATTTGATTTAGATTTATGTTAAGTTACTTTGAAGGTAGAGAGATATTACAAAATAATTTTTCTAATATTAAATTATGTAATTATATTTATTTAATAATATTAACTACGTATTCATACCGATTTAAACTTTGAAATCTTAAACTTATACCTTGATTGATTCAACGACAATAGAAAATTTAAAGCCATAGTTATTTACTCAATTAAGTTATCCACCTTTTTTTCTTTTTTCTTTTTTCATCCTTTTCGGCATGTCGATGGAAGAAGCTTAATCACCCAGTTTTATGTACACATATAAAATGACCCAAAATCTCATCTAGTTCTTTGAGTGGGAAACAAGCAAGACGAAAGTTCATATCCAAGTAAGCATATATTCCACACAACAAAAACTCACTCTAATATCCAAATGAATGCATTGCTATTTTACTCATTTAGATGTCACATAGAGACAACAACAAAACTAAAGTGAAACACAGAATCATGAAACACAGAATCATAACTTTAGCTCATGTTCAAGCCTTCCCACTTTACTGCTCCTTATATTGCAATCCATGTGCCCATTCCTCTTCACTCTACTCAGGTTTTGACATCCCAATACCAATTCTTCTACAATGGATTCTAGAGCTTACATTCTTAGAGTTACCATTGCAATTCTTTGCTTCTCAATGCTAGCTTCCACTTTTTTTCCTGTGTGTGGTAAAGTTCATGATATGTATTTTTTTTAGTTACTAGTTTTCTCCCAATTACTGTGATGAGTTTTCGAATGCTAATAGCATAATAATACTGATATATTGTCTAACTTCAGTTTTGGTTAGTGTAGTAACACTAATATACTTTTCTTCACCTTTTCATTGTGTTGATGTTTTCAGATTCTATAGATCATGGAAGAGCTATAAGGGGTCACAGAATCCATAGAAGCACCCCCATGAAATCTTTGAAGAAGCTGAAAATAAAATCTCTAAAACGTTTGAGCAAGTATTCATCATTTCATTCATTTGGGTTCTCAGATTTTGATTCATATGGGTCTCCTTCTTCCCTACCCTTGCCACCTTACAACTCACTAGCACCATCTAGTTCCATTCATCCTCCATTGGCACCTCCAAGCATAGGTGGCATTGGCAGCCCTAATCTCCCAGCATTTTCACCTCTTCCAAGCCCACCTTCTCATGGTGGTGGTGTATCTGGGCCGCCAAGCCCAAGAACCATTGTTGTTTCACCAACACCACCATCACCTCCATATTCTTCTTCAAGCCCACCAAAGCATTCTCCAAGCCCACCAGGCCCACCAAAAAGTGTTCCAAGTCTAAGCCCACCACCACTGGTGTACCGGCCACCCGTGGTGTTCCCACCACCCCCTTCACCCTCCACGCACCACAAAAAGCCCCCCCAGTACGCGCTTTGGTGTGTAGCAAAGCCCACAGTTCCAGACCCGATAATTCAGGAGGCCATGGACTATGCCTGTGGGTCTGGGGCAGATTGCAAATCCATTCAGCCCAATGGGCTATGCTTCCAGCCCAACACTCTGCTGGCCCATGCTTCCTTTGCCTTCAATAGTTACTGGCAGAACACTAAGATTGGTGGAGGCACTTGTGATTTTGGTGGAACTGCCATGCTCGTCACTGTTGATCCAAGTAAGTAATTATGCAATATTACGAAATATTATTAGGGTTTAACATGTGTACATTATAAATCTAAAAAACAAAAATGTTAGTGTGGATTAATTTAAATAATTTTTCATATGTTTCTCTAGTATATACAGTTCACTCTAATTTATCTAAACAAATATTTGTTAATTTATCTAAACCATTTGGCCTTTTTTTATAAAGTATAATGGTCTCTTTGAAATTTCTAGTCCACTATAATGATTTATTTAAACATACTCCTCTATATAATAAATATATTTCTCCATAAATACTTATAAGAACTAAAAGTAAAATAATTTTTTCTATAAACTAAATGTAATTTATGCATAGGATAAATTATAGAAACTCCTGTGTATAAATTCCTTAAATTATTTTACTATTTTTTTATGAATAAGTTGTTTTTATATTTTAATTTTATTTTAGGTTTATACTTATATTAATTTTAAATTATGGCTAAACATTTTATATATTTTTTTCTTCTTATTTTTCTTTTATAGTGTTTATAAATAACTTGTAAAACTAACAAATAGTATATGTCTAAATGGGTAAATTGTTTTAGAAAGTAAAACCGAATACATATTTTACTCATAAATTTTTAAAATAAATATTCTCAAAGTAAATAAATGTAAAATAAGTTAGTTTATAAATAGAACTTCTCTTTTTATAAGAAAGTTAGTTTAGAATGAGATGACAGGAAGAAATTATATCTATATTTAATTTTCTCATATTATTAGCATAATCTTTCTCTCTTTTTTATAAACTTTCTTACAGAATAAAATTGACATAGATTTTATTAAATATACTCGTGTGATTTATTATTTAGTGAATTTTATTTAAATTCTCACTGACAAAATAAAATTAACATTAATTTTATTAAATATATATCAGTTTTATTTGTCATGTAATGAAATTGATTTCTAAATTAGTCAGACTTTCTTGAATTTTAATGAACAAGAGAGAATGCATTAAAAAAAAATCATGTTACTCAGTGTTACTAGTTCTCATACCATTTTTCACCTTTGGAAAATGCATCATGTGTTCTCTCTCAATGTGAGTGTTGATGATAATAAGTATGTTAAAAAGAAAAAAACAAAATAGTTGAATATTTTTTGGTAACCAATATAATTTGTCTTTGCTTAGTTGAATATATTATTATAAATTGTTATAATATATATTGAACACTGAAAACATGTTTTGTTTAAGAAAAAAACTTTTCAAATTAAATATTTTATCATTTACTTATTTTCATTGCTTAAATTACACATATCATAATTTTTCTCCATTTTATGAATTTAATTTAATTATTATTTTAGTCTCCTAAAATTAAAATTATTCTTTAATTCCTTTAAAATAAAAAATATTTTAATCCTTAAACACTTAATTTAATTCGAAAGACTCAAATAATTATTTAAATATAATTTTAATCTCTTAAATTTAATATTTATTGTATACTAAAATAACATTTAACTAATTTAGAATAACAAATAAACTTTATTTTCTAATTTGAGAGATAAAAAAAATATTTTAAAGGGTAAATAAAATTAAACTTTCAAATTTAAAAATCCAACTTTGTTTCGTACATTAACATTTTAAATTTTATGCATATTATATCAACATTTTTTTACAGCATAAACACCATTACTCTTTAAAATTTAACAAATAAGTATAACATGTAAAAATTAAAAAGTTAATACTTAAAATAAATTAAAAAGAATTTTGAAGATAAAATTTACACAAAAATAATAATTGAGTTCTAAAATAAGGATGAAGTCGTTCATTTTGTATTCCATGCATCTTCATTAGTGGCGGATTAAGGAGCCGTACTGGCCACGCGCCCACCAATTTTTATATATATATAATAATTATTTTTAAAAATTAAATAAAAATATTTTTAAAAATTAAATAAAAATATTTTTAAAATATAATTAAAATGAATTTTTTTTAATTTTCATTTATAATAAATATTATATTTATTGTTTTATATAATTTTTCATTTACACTTTCTTTTTTATTTTTTTCTTTTTCATCTTCTAATTTTTCCATTTCAACTTTTTTTATTCGAGATTTATTTTTGTCTTTTCACTTTTCCATCTTTATTTTATCACTTATTCATTTTTAGTTTTTTTCAATGTTAATGTTTTTTATAATTTCATCTTTATAACGTATAGAGCGTAAATTTTTTGTTTTTAAAATTTTTTTTATTTACATGAAGACATAAGAAAAAGGTAAAAAAAAATATAAAGAAAACATCCCATAATAGTTTATTGAAATAAAAAATTAATAATATAAAATATTTTTTATTGTTTATTTTTTATTATTATTTTTTATTTAATATTGATATAGTAAAAAATAGTAAAATGTTGATATAATTTATTTATTTCTTATTTATTAGTTAGTTTAATATTTTATGATATTGTATTTTAATGTTAAAATTTTAAAAAACAATCAAGTTAAATTTTAAAAATATCTAAAAAAAAAAGATTATAAACCCGTATTTTAAGAGAAAAAAATAATATATAATAAATATTAATTTTTAAAATTTAAATTTAATTAATAATATTAAATATTTTACGTTTCTTTTCAAGGGTGGTCTTTCATGGTTGCTGTGGCCTAAGTTTCAACCTGTGGGCTATGCATAAACACTAACTTCTGTTTCTTTTCTTCTTTTTTTCAAACCCATGGTTTTGCACAGGTTATGACAAATGCAACTTCATGTTGACTTAGATGACAACTTGCATGTTTGGAGACATTTTCAATATTCCCTCATCCCAACATGGATTTTTGATGTAATAATAAATAATTTCAAGGGCCCATGCTTTCTTGGAGTGACCTAGGTTGTCCTTCCAACCTTTATTGTGGGATTCATGATCAAAGCTGTCCTATTTAGAACTGTTTTTTTATTTTTCTAAATTTCATGAGTTTCACCATTGGTTAAACTTTCAAAAAGGACAATGATAATTGGAGAACTAGTTGTAGAATATTTATTTAGTTGACAACTACTATTAATAACATTATTATGTTCTTAATAACAGTTTTAAATTGAGCCTATATTACACATCTAGTTCTCACTGTATCATCACTCATTTTAAAATTACTCATATCTAATCAAAGCAATTAACATATAGGATGCATTTTTCTTTTTAATTGTCATAGAACTTTTTATGTCTATTAGATCAAAATTAATGTGACACACAATAATGTTATTATAGCTCATTCATCAAGTTTTTACACAACTAAAATTGAATACATATTTTTTATTACATAAATAGTCATTCATCAAGTTTTTACCCAACGAAAATTGAATACGTATTTTTATTAGTCTCATTACAAATGAACTTGTAAAGTGACAATCACATCAACTCATTAATATATATTTTTATTATTTTTATGTAAAAAGTATATATATATATATATATATATATATATATATATATATATATATATATTAAAACACCTATGCAATTGTTCCAATAAAATATTATTTTAATTTTTAAAATTTCCATTTATACATTTTAATGTTTAAATATAACCTTCTTATAAGATTTCAGTAAAGTAAAATTATATGTTTTTCATGTAATAATTATAATAAATATTTATATTTAATATAATTAAAATATTTTTTTCTAATTTTTATATATCATAATTATTTTATTAAATATTAAATATTTATTATTAAGGAAATTGTTAGTTTTATGCTAGGTAATTATTAAATAATATATATGTTGATTTATGTGACTTTAATTGCTTTTAGCTTCATCAAAAATCATACTTATTAACATCACTTAACTGGTGATATAAAATTAATAATTATTTTAACAATGATGATTAAAAAATTAAGATAATAATGAATAACGTACAAAAATAAAGTAATATATTATAATTATATTAACATAAATAGTTATAATGATTATTATATAAAAAATATATTTTAGCTATAAGATATTAATTTGAGGCGATCAAAATTATGAAAGGAAAAAATAAAATAAAAATTCACGGTTAAATTGATATAATTAAATATTTTTTTATATAGTCGAGTTAATATTTTTAACATAAACTCAATCAAGTTAAAATTTTTACGAAGTTAATAAGTGAATCAATCAATCTACATATTAGTTTATTACATATTTATAATTAATTTTCAATCAAGTCATATATTTACCCAACCAAATTAAGTTTATATTTTATTTGAAGGTGAGGGTTTTTCCTTACCATAAGTACTTTCTATATTATTAGTACAAAACAAGCTTTTCAGTATGATAATTTTGCCCTTTTTTTTTCACATATGATTAATTTTTTATATTAATATAGGAAATATAATTTTACGTCAAAGTAATTAAAAAGTGTCAAAATTTATTTCAATTATCATTATAAAATTAAGTATGTATTTTGAAAGACTCCATTTGTGAGATTTCAATGAGTAACCATGTTTTTTTTTGTCATTTTTCTATTTTTTAGGTCCTTTTGGTTGTTTCTCTTTTGTCTTGAGTTTTTTTAACGTTTAATAACAACAATCCAATAAAATATACATTATCATGATTGAGATCTCAAAAAATAATTATGATTTAAAAATTAAAGACATAGAACACTAATCTCAATCACACGGTAGACACTTAAATGTTCCAATCCAATAAAGGAGAAACATTATGTAGCCTCTCGAAATTGATTATGTAATTTTTTTTCAAATACAATGTAATATTTTGGGTAATTTAAATAATTTAAAAATAAAAGACTCATTTATATAAAAATAAATAATATATATATATATATTTACTAAAAATGTAAATAATATATATATATATATATATATATATATATATAAATTAATAAAAAATAGATGAAGATAAGAATCTTATCTCTTTATATTAAGAGATAAGTTTTAATTAATAATAGCAAATCATAAAAAAAAAAATCAAAGAAGAGATAAGATTCCAAAACATTAAATAAAGGAAAGAAAAAAAAATGATGGATATAAATGGGAAGAAGAGGGCTCACATAGGAGAAAAAAAAAATTGAAAGAGAAGAAAGGGAAAGAGAGGAGAGAGAGAGAAAGAAAGAAGAAAGGGAGAGGAAGGAGAGAGAGGGAGAGAGAGAGAAAGGGATGTTAGACAAATGACATCTAGAGGGGGGGTGAATAGAAGTACAAATTAAAATAGATGTCAAATTAAAAATTTATTTGTGAGTAAATAATTTGTTTGAACATAGATAAAGCGGAAGCGATAATATAATCAGGAAAAGAAAAAGAGATAAGGGAAAGAGAAGAGCACACAGAGATTTATACTGGTTCGGGTCTAGCCAACCCTACATCCAGTTCCCAGTCAACTCTTAACACAAGAATGACTCCCAATTCACTATCTTTCAAATTCAGTTTACAAATTACAATCAACTCAACAGAAGAACTAGTAAAAAGTAAACTAATTAAAAAGACAATCACTTTCTTAGAAACCCACTAAGGATGAACACCTCCCTAGAATCCCACTAGGGATGGACACCTCCTATGAACAAATCAAAGGATGAAAAAAACACCTCCTTAGAATCCCACTAAGGATGAACACCTCCCTAGAATCACACTAGGGATGAAAACCTCCTTTGAACAAATCAAAGGATGAAAACACCTCCTTTGCCACCAATACACAAAGGATGAATGTAATAAAAATAAGAACAGACACACCTGGGTAATGGAGACAACAAATTGTAGAAGCCTGTAGAATGTCAATCTCCAAGAACAAGTGTGATTAACAATGAAAGCACAGAAGACAGTAGAGAAAAGGGTTTTCTCAAAAGGTGTAAAATATCTTTGTTGCCTTGCTCAGAATTCTTTTCTCAAAATTGATTGAATGTAAATTGTATTTTGGAATTCTGTAATTGTGTTTTTGTGATTTTTCATCAAAACTTAATTAAATAGAAAAATAACATCAGAAAATGGTCGTTGGACATTAATAATATCATAGAAAAAAATCAGGATATATTTAAAAACATTTATTCTTTAAAACAGATATATTTTTTTAAATTTGAATTGCCATAATTGATTATATTACCAGTATAATCAATTATGACAGAGAAAATTATTTTTTCATTTCTGATGCATCATAATTGATTATGACAGAGAAAAATATCATGTTATGAATTTTATCACACTTGTGCTTTGGAGGCTTATGCATAATAATTACTTCATCAACTTGTACCTCCATATCCAGCATTCTAAGACTCTATCTAGTCTTCAGGAATCATCTTAGGCTTGCTTGAATCATCATCTTTATCAAAAATATATCTTGGGCATGTAGGGAAATGTTTCACATTTTCACCAACTTCATAAATTCAGCTTGTCCTTAATTCATCTTGAATGGTGTTGACTTGAATGTAGTTGACTTGAATCATCATCAAAATCATCTCTTGGGATAATTTTAACATTTCTATCAATCTCCCCCTCATTGCTTTCAATCTCCCCCTTTTTGATGATGATCAAGGAAACACCTGAAATGAATTAAAATGCTTGACTCTATATAGTCAGCTCAAGATTAACACAGATTAGCACAGATTTGTATCAAGTGTCAGAGTCTCTTAATCTCCTCCTGGATATATTAATAACAAGACTCCCTCTAACTCAAATGAGTAAAGACTTCTCTTAACTCCCCTTGTTAAATTTAGAGATAGGAAAGAATTTTACACAGATTTTAATTCATAAAAAAATCTCCCCCTGTTTAATTGATAATCATAAAAAAATATTATAAGAGAAAAAATCTTCCCCTGTTTCACACAAATTAATATCATCAAAATATCTCCATGTTTCATTGATAATTATGAAAAATATTATAAGAGAAAAAAAATATCCCCCTGTTTTACACAGATTAATATCATCAAAATATCTTCCCGTTTCATTGATAATTATGAAAAATATTGCAATAGAAACTGAGAACAAATTTACACATATTAGTACATAAATCAAGGTAGAGAAGATAATGTATTACAAAGTGTCATAGAGAAGAATATCATATTAAGGAGACAATATCTAGGATACCCAAGACAAATGAAGAAAGAGAAAGATAGGGGAATAGAATGATTATAGAGATAATGGAATGAAATGCAGTAGTTTCTCCAAATTGTAATCTTCTTATTTAGGCAGCTTTCAAATTCAAATTCACTTATATTCCAGATTTCAAATTTCAAATTCAAATTGCAACAAATTTCAAATTTCAAATTCAAATTCCAACAAATTTCAAATTCAAATTTCTAATCCTAAATTTCAAATTCCAATTCAAATTCAATTTCAAAAATCTCAAACTACAAGAATTTCAAATTTCAAAATCTCAAACTACAAAATTTCAAATTTCAAAAATCTCATATTGCAAAAAAAATCTCAAACTGCAAAATTTTAAATTTCAAAAATCTCATACTGCAAATTTTAAAAAATCTCAAACTACAGAATTTCAAATTTCAAAAATCTCAAATTGCAAAATTTCAAATTTCAAGAATCTCAAACTGCAAAATTTCAAACTTTAATAATTTCAAATTTTCAAAAATTCAAACTTTGAACATAATTGATTATGACAAACAAGATTTTTTTATTTATTCCGATAATCAATTAGATGCTCAAACTATCATCTAGACATATATAAATGTTGTGTTCCTTTAGGCACCCATTCATATTTGCCATTAGATATACCAAAATGTTTTATGTAACATCTATTTGATGTATGACCTAATTTCATGCAATAAAACACATGTTG